ACATCTAAATAAACAACAGCCATTTAAATTATTCATTGGTCTTATGTTTGAATGGTAATAAAATTGGAGCTTCTGGCCTTTCTTCGGGGAAATAAAGTGTTTTGTTTTTTACCTTAGTTCACAAGTCTTGTGAGAATGATTTCCATGAGTACAAGCCCTAAGATTTCACAGTAACGATCATTTTGGTACTCATTGTTCTCCTTACCAGGCGGCTACCAATAAAATTTACCGCTTGAAGCAACACTTCTTACCTCCTCAACAAATGAGGTGTTAATAAAATTAAAGACATGTAGGTTGTTTCAAAAAATACACAAGTTGTGATCCAAGCCGATCCTCACAGGAAAAGGAAGTAAATACGGAAAATCAAAAAGTATACACAGCTCTTCTCTCTGATTACTTTATTTAAATGCTGAATGGTACCTTTCAAAGCACTGGAGGCTAACAATCTTTTCATGGGCCTCTGTCCCAATTCTAGACTTTCTTGACCAGCAGGAAAGTTTGCGACTTCCGCAACTTGTGTTACTCAATTGACCCTAGTGGCAAAGGCAGCCTTCATTCATAAATTCTTTGTTTTGAGGTGTTTGAAATACTTTTCGGTCAATTGATTGACAGGATGCTCAAAAATAAAAGCCTTTGTAAACGCAAACCTCCCCCTTCCCGCCAGGAGAGCGCACGTCTGCCACATATTTTTAGCCTTACTGGTCAAAAATGGTCCCTTACCTGCTGAACTAAAATTTAGGGAGAACACTGGGTACTGTGTCATTACTCTGTTCTGAAAAATAACAAAAACAACTGTCCCCGTTGCCATTTTTCAACTTTTGTTTAAAAATTATAATTAAGTAACCGTACTCAAATTCTTTTTTATTATAGCAATATAGTCAGTATATTAATTTTATTGCAGCCCATGTCTTCCACCCATATCATTCCTCAACTTTGTCGCATTTAATTAAGCTAATGCACATTCTTCTTCCATCATGTCTGGAAAGATCCTTGATTACTTGTATCACAAAGAAGGAAAATAAGTAGCTCAAATGTTTTTGATTAATATCCTGCTTGCATTTGAGGTTTCCAATGTTTTGAGGTTAATAATTCTGTATTTATTTTGCAGGAAAAGTGAGATTGAGTACTATGCCATGTTGGCAAAGACTGGAGTTCACCATTATACCGGCAACAACATTGAACTGGGTACAGCTTGTGGCAAGTACTTCCGTGTGTCCGTCCTTAGTATTACAGATCCTGGTGACTCAGATATCATTCGGTCTATGCCCTCCGAACAGCAGTCTCAACCACAATCGTCATAAAATGCTGTAAAGAATGTGAAATAAATGTTTCTTGAAGGCCGCAAATGATTGTTTTTTCTTTAATGGTGAATTTTTTAGTACCGTCCCTTGCCATGCTTGCCTGTTACAGTAATGGTTCGTTTCTGTCAAAGGACAATACCTCATTTTGCTATTTCTAATTTAGTATCTGCTGCTGTGGAGAAGGATGTCAATCTTACTGTTATTTTTACTTAGCTAACTCTCACCATGAGACAAATCAAAGCTTGGGCTTTAGCTACTAGTCCATAAGGTCCTGGTTACATGTGACTGCTCTAAACTTATACTTGGATGACTCAGTTATACATGTGGTTATGCGAATTGACTATGAAAGTGGTAGGGCTTCTCAGCAATCTCCACAATAGATGTAGTTCTTTCATCTTTGCACATAAAATTGATCAGTTGTGAAAAAATAATATTATCTCAGACTGGCCTTGCTTATATCTCAGTTTGGCTTGGCTTTATTATCATCATGGTTTCCCTATCTGATCTCCCTGTGGGTTCCACTCCCAAAAGAAATTAAACTGGTCTGGGAATATTTTTTCACAAATATTTGGACCAGTATAAGTTCATGCTGGTATCAAGTTATCAGGGCTGAACCCGGACAGAAAGAAGGACCCTTAACATGACACAGCTGGTTCTTGTCCTTACTGTCCCATGTGGAATTTGAGTAGTTTGTCAAAGCAAAAAATATTATGAGGGATAATTATCATTGATAGGAAGGGAATCACATTCCACTTAACACTTTTTTTTCTAGAGTTTTTACTAAGACTGACTGCTTAAGGAGTGCACTAACAGTCAACTCTTTCTAAGATGGGCAGCTTTGGAACTAGCACTAGGTGTCTGTCTTTGAGAGATGTCTGTCATAGCTAGTCAGCTTAAAGGGGTAAAGAAAAGCAGGGAACCAACTCTACACTGTACATTAATTTTGGTGAGGTGTCCATCTTACAGAGCTGTTTGTGAAGAGAGAGTTGGCTACAACATGATGATTTGTAGAGGCACACTTGCAATAATTCCGTTGAGGCTTACATTTTGTGTGTGGGATCCCATGCTTCTCCACCGGGTGCTCAAAATAGTACCTACCGGTAGATAGAGCCTAAAACAAAATAATGTCCCACTAAATTTCCTAATTCTCCTTCTAATTCTATTTGTATGTGATTGAGAGTAACATGGAGAGTTTTATATTTGATCAGAAGTCACATGGTTAGGGGTCTTAGTCCGTGCACTTCTTCGGTTGTTTACAGGCGAAAAATGCTGGCTTTTTGTCAGCTTTTTAATAAACACTAGCTATTAAGAGTGAATTAAAGTGAAGAGTTTTGGTAAAAATGTTCTTGTAGTGTTAACCAGTGAGGAAAGTAGACCTTGTTTAAATCTTTATTCCTGCAACATACTGTCAAATTTCAGATTTGATAAAAGCTAGTTTTCTTTAGCAAGGAGAAATTAACAAGTTCTTCCTTGTATTGGAAAAAACTTGGCTAGTTTCCCATAGCAAGCAAACAATTTATTAGTTTTTCTTTGACAAGGGATGAAACTTTCTCATCTAAATGTGGCCTCAGAATGAACATGATCTTTTGCAGTGTTGTCTGCTAAATTATGAGTATTAAAATGAAACGTATAGACTATGATCACTTCTCACTTCTCCCTAAATCAATGCAGAGGTAGCAAAACTAGGAAGTTCACTGGGTCTATTTTGTAGACAACATGGCAGCAGTCCAAGGCAACTATTTTTAAGACCTCTCCCACACTGAAGCAAGTTTAAGCTCAAGGATGGGTGGTTTCTGTGAAAAAATAAAACAACAGATACATTCAAGGTTGAGTGGTTTCATTGAAAAAATAAGCTTAGATTAAACCAGCCCTAAATTTCTCTTTGAAAGGATTTTCCTTGAAGAGGATGCCTGATTATTATTAATGTTTTACTTTCTTGTTATGATCATTTCTTCTTCCTGTGTATCCCATTGCAATTATGCATGATATTTACTACTGACACACAGGTCCAGCCCATAAAAAATACTAATAAAAATAATGTCATTAGTCTAAAACAGTTTTATTATATGACTACAGTGAATTAAAAAGAATGTATGTTATCATCTATACATACTTCTAAAATTAACCCAGTGTCTAAGGATAATTTCTTTGTGAGTGGAAATATTTTGAGTGACATTCCCCAAATTTTTTTCTAGGACAAAAAAGAGATGAAATTGCACTGTAATTTTTAAGGAAAAAAAAGCTGAGCAAGGCTAAGAATCTTTTTCAAGAAAAGTACTTTTAAAAGTCACGTTCAAAAAAATTTAGTAATAAGTTGAATCACAGCTATATTAGGAGATGAGGTCTCATAACTATATCGGACCAAGAACATTAGTACATGTTTATTATTTGTTTGGAATACGAAATGATCGAAAGTACATGTCATTCGTGAAAGAATTTGTGCACTTGAGTATAAAATGTGACGAATATTGCCTGAAAGCCTGAAAGTGACGTTGCTTTGGCTCTTCAGATCGTTGATCACGTGGTTTTCCTTCCTTTTATGGTTGCAAATCGTCGAACGGAAATATGGTTTTCCGACGACAGGAAGAGGAGCAGCGAGGCGTGTGATCTTTGACGCTGTTTTGCTGTGAAAATATAATATTAAGTCTAATTTGTTTGGACCTTCTAACAACGGACAACAGAGGAAGCCGTATCTAATCTTAAACGGAAGTGAAATGAGCATAGATGGTCATTAACTTCCGTATATGTTTAAAAGTGCGTAGGATAAATATTGCTCTTTCGCCGCCTGGCAGCCACATCACTTTGTTACTAGCGTGAATGTTGAGTCACTCCAAAATATTTTGTCCTGAAGATTCCGTCGCGTAAATGATCCGTTCCGGAGTATGATTTCCAAAATGGGCTGCATTCTTGACGTTACATTGCTGGGTTTGGATTAAATAAATAGCGTCGCGGAAGAGTACCATGGCAGGACAAGCCAACATGAGGACCAACAGAAGAGTTCTCAGAGAGGGGTTTCTTCACAAGAAAACCAGTCTCCTCAAGCAATGGCGAACCAGGTTCGTGGTGCTCAACAGGCAGTTGCTTTGTATTTTCAAGAAAGAAGAAGATGAGAAACGTGGGAGAACAGCAGATGGTCGGATATTCTTAGTTGACATAGAAGCGGTTGAGAAGTTTGAGACCAAGAAACGAAAACATTGTTTTAATTTGATCGTGGAGGGGAAGCCTTTCTTCAGCTTCTGCTGCAGTTCTGAGTTAGATAGAGAGCTGTGGATTCGATCTATTCAAGCAGGAAAGGAGAGTGAGTTAAAGGAAGAAGAAACTGATCCAATCAGGCGAAAGAGCATCAAGTTAACCGGTGGATTAAAGCGTATCACAATTCCTAGAGAGAAAGGACAAGGGTTGGGGTGCACAATTAAAAATGTTGGTGGCGTCATATTTGTGAATAGAATCCTAGAAGACGGCCCAGTTTCTACATCTGGAATACTGAGACCAGGTATAGTTTGTTATTTTAATTTGCAAAGTATTTTCTATTTCTTATGATGCATCTTGACAACTCAGAAATTAGAACAGCATTTGTTTCACCTCATTTTAATCTGGTGTTATTTCATATCGCTCTGTTTATCCTGAAAACATCTGACATCTTTTGGTGTGGGCGGACTTTTCGACATGTAATTAATTAGAAGGTGTCCATTCTATGTAAAATTTCAATTCTAATGTGGCTTATGAGTCATCGACGGAAAAACAGCTAATGGCTTGGAAGTCTAAGAAGCATAAAAGAACCAATAAGTCCCTTAAACAAAGGGTGGAAGCTTATGTCATTTTACGCATCTAAAGTTCGCACAGGTGTTCGTGTTTGCGGGCTATTTAAAAGAAAAATTGTAGGCTAAGGTCTATTCTAGTGGTAAACCATCTTCCATATTTCGCAGTCAAATTTTAGGCCATTTTTAAGCCTTAACTTGATTTTATCGCTTTGAACAAGCGCATTTTGAAATGCACGTATCTGCCCCTTTGTTCATTTTGTTGTGTCTAATAATTGTCAAATTTTCATGCCATTCAAACCTAAAATCACCCACTATTTGTGCTAATTTTCATATGCAAATACGGATACGCTGTAAACACGCAAATGCTCGCTTTATTGATTTCCAGACTCACAGTGTTACATTGTCTTTGAATGAATCCGTGTGAAAATTTTTTTGAAAATAGGTCGTATTTTTTAATTTATTAGTACTATTACAACTTCTTCCTTTGTTATATTTCATACATATTATAATATTTACTTTTTAAAGCTTGCCGTAATCTCCATTGAAATAAGACGGCTAGTCTTGTTTTGAAAGAGTGTAATAGTATTGTCATTACACGGTGTAAAGTATTTGTCAAATTCTATGTTATTATTATTTCTTTTCTTATTTGATAGTTTTCTCAAAAAATTTAACCACCAGAAGTCCTCTATTTAGCCCCCATCTTTAGCCCCCCAAACCCCCTTTTCAGGGGAGGAAAGTTGTAAGCCCCCCATTCTTTTAAGGTCCCCATCCCCAGAAAAGCTATGAACATAGGCTTATTCATCATAACCCAATAATTATTGTCAAAAGATGCAATATGATCTGGTATGATTTATTCACATGCTGGAAGTTGAAATTGGTTTTGGTCTTCAGCTGCAAGACCTCCATTGTCATGTGCTTGACCTTTTCTAATTTGCGTCCTAGCTCTTTGTGGAGAATCAATACCAATTTCTGGTTGTTTGGAAATTAAAGCGATGTGTTACGCCGTTTCAGTAAATTAAATAAACCCCCCTCCCCCTTGCTCAAATTAGCCCCCGTTTAAGTCCCCCCCTTCAAATGTGCTTGAAATAAAATAGGCCCCCTTGTGGGCTCCATAGAGGATATATGTTATAAATTATTTGCTTATAATCTAACCTCTAACTCACCAATCAAAAATGTATACTAATTTTTTTCTAGGTTTAAGTAATATTATGTTGAAAAAAAAAACATGCATAACCCAGTATAGCGGATTAAATTGCTAAAATGTTAAGGTTTCTATTTTGCTTATTTTTTAATAAATGCAGTGGTGTTATAAAAGTTGTTTATAAACGTGATGTATAATTTTAACAGATATTAAAATATTTAAATTTTTGGCACTTTTACAATATAAATATTTTTTACCAACACTGAAAAGGCACAGTAATGTAAATATTTTGATGCTTAAAACTTACTACTCTGTTTTAACTTAACCAATGTTGTTAACTTTCATAGTGATATAACAGCTTAAAATTTTTGTATATTTTTTTGCATAACTTAAAGACAAAACACCTGCTCACCGCTTTCACTAAATTCCTTTTGAAAAAAAGATCTGAAAATTGACTGCATGATTACTTTCACCAACAACATCAGAACTGCTTATGTGTTGCCTGTTAACATCATAGGTTACAAGTTACTTCTTAATTTGAGCGGAAAATTTTAGCAATGTGAGTTTATTCATAAAATTTTTCACATGTGAAGTTGCAAATTGCTTTGACAAAGTATCCATGCATCTTACCTGACAGCCAGCTAAAGATGGTCTCCAGCTTCAAAAATATTACAGATGAAGACATCAGGGCATTAAAAGACTGCACTCACTCTTTAAAACATCTAAAGACGTAAAGACAGAACAATTTTTACCAGAAAGTTGTGAACTTGAAATTGCGTGCTTTAAACTTTTCTCAGTATAAACAATAAACAAGCCAAAAACTCATGATTGCGATTGTCAGCAAAGTTTGAAAATGGTACACTCAAGAAATAAGATAAACTAATTTCCCTGGCCCAAAGGTGCGGGAAATTAGTAGAATTTTGACTTAGAATTTTGTGAAATTATTACTTTCACTGAGCTGAGGTTTAGTTACCATTTGATCATACACATGAATCATCAACAGCTTTAGTTTTCAGTTTGACTATTTAGCATTTGGAGGCAACATTTGGACTGTTTTGTTAGTTTCGTTTTTTTGCCGGTAGTTAAAGAGGTTTTTGCAAATGTTTATCAGAATAAAATATGTCATGATTGTCATCCCAAGACTCAGGTTTGTGGTGCTATACCTAGGCCCATGACGTAACAAATCATTTTAATATGACCAACATTTTGAGGACATTAACCCTTTTGATGCAGATATGAGTATGCATGCATATATTTTCTTCACTGATCTTCATTCTTTTAGCTATGATACTAATGAGAATTTACTCCAAACAAATTTTGATTTCCTTTTTCTCACGACCTTTAAATATAATATTTTATTACTTACACATTACATACAATGTACACACAAAACCTTTATTTCTCTTGAAATTGTAGGTTTAAAAAAATGTTCAAGTGAGGCCTTTAACTGCTATAACTAAAAATAATAATAAAATTAAGATTAAAATCTGATATTTCGCTGATCAACGGCATCATTTTAGAGTAAATATAGTAAAAACTATAGTTAAATTTAAGAGTAGGTAAAACAACTAATTTTAACTAAGAGGTGTTAGCTACAATAGCTAATATCTCCAAGATTATACTGTTGCAACAAGTGTTAAAATAAGGAGAAACAAGAACGCTCTTACAGCACAAGCGTTCAGTCTCATTTGCTTGGAGATTAGATCGAGAAATGAGGAGGCAATTTATTCGACACAAAACAGCATTTACTTGTTAAAGGATTTTTACTTCCTACTTTTTCAATGGCGAGTATTCTTCAGGATATTCACTTTTTATTTGTTTCTGAATTGATTTAGTACACGTGTTAGTGACGACCGGAAATATGTCTGCGGTTACAGGCTATATGCGTGTATAAATACACAAAAATTCAAGGGCCTCGATTCCAGAGAAATTACATCATTGCCAGAACTTTAAAAAAAGTGATTTACATGGCACGTCATTTCAATCATCGCCGAAAATAAACCGCATGTTCATGACACGAGTCATTTGCATACAATGAAAGCTTACAACACTTGACCATGGCATCCCAGTTTTGCTAAAAAAGATTCTTTTTTTTTCTTTTTTTCAACCACTCAGTAGTGTTCACTTGTTCCAAAGTAATCAACGCCCTCAAGCGATAGAATTTGTGGACCGACATGTTTAGGAAAGCTCTAAATTTAATCTTTCCTAAGCTTTCTTCGCAAAACATGCATGACTTCGGTCACGCAACAATTATTATTCCCAGTTTCCACGGTCTCTGCTTGGAATGCCTGGCACAATGATCCCCCTTTTGTGTCATAAATACAAAGAAAAACGGGTTGCAGATTATGAGTCTCGCTGCTTATGCAAGCGAGATTAATTACTCTGGTCATTCTCAGAGGGGAAAGGTTTAACAGGGATCCCACTGCATGAACATGTAACTGCATGATGGCTGCCTGTGAAAATCTTTAAGGCTGGTGTTAATATTAGTCTCTCTAAGACTGCTAGAAGTTTGTGATTTTAACTTACAATAATTATTGCTTCTGTAATTAAACAGGAGATCAGATTCTTGACATCAATGGCATTGAGATTGGAGGACGTTCTGTGTCTGAGATCAGTGAAATAATCAAAGGAAGCCCAGAGATAGTTATATGCACAGTCAAACCATCCTCAGATTACCGTTACTGTGACACAGGCCAAGTAGGTGGGCACACCGAATATGCTGAAATAGACTTGGATTCATTGAAAGCAAAAGGTGATGATGATGATGATGATGATGATGATGACAATAAGAGTGTGTCCAAAAACGGGAGCATTGGCAGGGACAAAAAACATTCTGATGCAAAGCCTCAGCAGAAAAGACATTCACTACCATCAGTTCTGCCAGACCCGATATTGGATGCTGGAGCTTCGCCAAGGAGCAAAGAGGACACACTAAATTATCTTGAGTTGAACTTTGGAGAGAACGGACCTCGTAATAAGAGTGATGTGTCTCGGTCACCTAAAGTCCCACCTAGAATGAACAAACCACAAAACAAGCCTGCTTATGTTGAGCTTGAGTTTAAAACCAAAGACAGCAAAAGCCAGAGCTCTGAAAGGGCAAGAAACAGTACTGCTGCCGGAGAAGTTGACAGAAAGAGTAATTCACTTCCGCGACAATAAAATAGTCCTTTAGAGTTAACAGGTTTTAAGTTCCAGCATGTCACATTTCAGCTTTGTTCCCTTGAAATATCTGTCATGTTATTAGAATTCAGGTAGGGTTGATGGGACCATTGGGCTGCAACAAGAACAGATTTGAGGGTCCAACCATTATTATTACTTTAGTAAAATTACACATTGACCTAAATCTGGAAAAATCTCGCACCTGGTGATTGAAAGAGTGGCCACTTGAACAAACAGTTACAAGAATTTAACTGAATAGCCTGCATGGCAAAAGTTTGTCGCTTGCACGGCAATGTTTCCCTACCAATAATTGGTGTGCTCTTTTGATCGTGTTTACAAAATGTATGGGCTCACGGGTCAGCTTTTTTGTCTGTTCATCTTCTACCCTTTTCTTCTGTGTTTCTTGCGCTTTATGCACTTTGGAAAGCAAATAACTGCTGTGCAGGCTGTGGGAAATAGAATGTTTCAGCCACCCCCCCGTCCGTTCACCCTCTACATTCTGCGAAGGGAATGCTGGTCATGAACTGGATGGTGATGAATATGCAGATATTTATAGCTGTTGTAATAGACCATAATCAGTAAATAAATATTCTCTAGCAGTATTAGTATAGGAAATAGCATGATTTGTAGTGAAATTTGGCATAAATACCACGAGTGATATTTCAAAATATTGTTATCCGTAATTTTTACGAGCCGTTAGGCGAGTGAAATTTGAGACAATGTTGAAATATCACAAGTGGTATTTATGCCAAATATCACGTACAAATTATGCTGTTATTTGTTTATACTACTACCCACAAAAGGTTTCTAATTTTCACATGTAGATATTTCAAATTAAGCTGAAATACCACTGCTCTAAGCCCGTCAAATTGCAGAAATTTCCCTTGTAGAAGTATAATTAAGGCAAGCCTGCGGTGAAAAATTACACTGGTTCCCCCTTTCATCAAGCACACCTATCTGTGAGCTACTACTGCTTCAATGTAGTGAGGATAGAAAACCTGTCTTTAAAAAATTATTTATTTTAATTATTATAATACTCCTTTAAAAAATGAAAACTTCCCCTGGAAATATTGCAGCAGTTTAATGTTCACTGCGAAACCCAAGAGCCATGAAATGTTTATATGTGATAGAGCCATGTCAGCTTTATTTTAATAGTATCTCAGAAATATATTGTTATGTACTGTGTGCAATTTATGCATCTTGGGAACATATTAAATAAAATATTTCATAATAACCTGTAGCTTATCCAATTTTATCCTATTTATTGTAGCTAATTCAGCAAAAAGACAATGGCTGATGATCGTAACTTAAACAGAGAAATTTAAAAAATATCATATTGTTATTATTTATTGATTAGAGTGCCTAATACTTCAGGTACTGTGAGTCATTGTGTTCTTTATGTCAGGGAAGTATGTATACAATTAACACACGTACAGGGGAAGGATTGGATTAACATGCTTTTTTAACCATTGTCTCACATTTGCATGGTTTTCTCAGCCCACTTCTTCAGTTTCGTTTTTTATTGTAGTCATAACTTCAAGAAGCAAGGGCTGGGTTAAGATAACCCAGCGTTAGTGGAAAATTTCAATTTAGATATGAAAGCCTAAAAAGCAAATTCAGCTTTATTCTTTTTATCCACAATTGGATGATTTGATGCTCTAAAAAGAATCGAGAATATTATCCTGAAAAATGCTTTTGAACAATAAGAAACGAAACCTGGGTTAAAATTTAACCCTGGGTTAGCGCTAATCGGCCTTTGAACAACTAGGCCTAGTACAGTAATTGTTTAGAAGTTTTATACATAAAACTATGTTCCACTTTGATATTGTGAAGGCGAAAAAGAACACTTAGAAAAATTTTTAAGGCTTTCCTTTTTTAATGGAATGGGAAGCACTTGAATTCATGCATCTTTAAGTGCCTGTTTTGCAATGCTCTTTTTTGTCTCAGTGTATTTTAACTTTCTAACTTGTATGCACTGTACATTGCTAGCTATTTGCTGAATAACTTTTGTACAAGTCTGTTGAAGGAGTCCTAACGAATGACCTTTCAAATGAATGTTATGGGGCACATCTTGATCATGCGACACTACTTTAATTTACTGTTCTCTAATCGTTTTCATTTGATTTTGTGAAGCACATTATGATCTTTTTAAAGAATTAAAATTCTGCAACAAGAATAATATAGCACAAGTACCTCATAACATGGAGATATCTAGATTTCAACAAATCCTGGTAAATGTACTTTGAGAACTTTGTGTTTAAAAACAAAACTGAGGAGTTTTACAGTTTTATTGCAACCCATATAATCCTCCAGACCTTCTTGATGGCGTCGCTCTTTTGGGATGATAGGGATGCTGAGTTGGTCCAGATGACTACATGTACATGAAAACCAGCCTTTTAACCGGCAATTACCACTGGTGGATCCAGGGGAAAGGACCCACCCCCACCCCCCTTTCCTAGACTGCAAAACAGTCGTTTTTTTTCCTCAAAATCAGTAAAGAAAACGGTAAAGCGTGGCGTAAACCTTATTTTTAGACCAAACTGAGGGCCGAAAAAAAAATTGGGGGGAACGGGCCCCTTGTTACCTCACGGTCTGGACGACCGTGGGGTACTCCCTATAATGGCTTATATAGGGAGGTTCCACCCGAGAGGGGACACTTTTTCAGGTTAAAGGCAAGGCAAGGCTGATCGGACAGCTAAGGATTGGTAATTTACTTACTTATTTGACCAATCTTTCTCCACCAACAAACAACGACGCATCCAACACCACATCTCTTGTTCATCTTCATATCTCATTTACATGATCCAGTGCAATAAATGTAATATGCAATACATCGGAGAAACAAAACGACAGCTCAGTAACAGATTTGACGAACACAGACGCTCCCTAGAAAAAGCCTTAAATCAGCATCACTTTAACCATCCTACCGCCGTTTCAGACCACTTCTATATATATCTTCCAGATCATTCCATCAAGGACATAGAAATCATTCCTTTAGAACTAATTACTTCACACAGGAACAGTATCCGTAAGGCCCGCAAAGGATTTTTAATTTCTAAAGGCAAAACACTTGACCCCGGGATGAAAAGACGAGGTAGAAACTTAATCTATTTTTATATATTTTCATAGTAGCCTATTTAGTCTTCGTCTGTTGTATTTCTCCACTAATCACATTTTATTTTTATATCAATACTGTAACCGTTTATTCTATTTTCACTTAGCTTTTCTAGCCCCTGAAGCGAGACTAGTTTTGTCTAGTCGAAATATTGGGGAAACAAATTTGTTAACTGCCAATCCTTAGCTGTCTGATCAGCTTTGCCTTTAATTTTAAGTGTTATTCTATATATATTGCTGATCCTGATCTACAACCCGGATCCGGCTTTCCTTCGCTGCTGTTTGTCCAAGTGGTCCTTGCAAGAATTGTTCGCTATTAAAAAGGGTAGGGATTTCAATAGTTTAAGTATGCCAGAAGAGTAGGGAAAATCTGTCATTGCGATCTGTAAAAGGCCAAAAGGGCTAACATATACACTTTATGTCGGTGGACTAGTAATCGGCTCCTGCTGTGGACAAGTATAGAAAACGTTCCGTTGTTTTGATTTATTTATATTTAAAACAATGCATTTACAGCGGTTAAAAGGAGTGCAAGGTTCTAGTCATGTGAAGTAATGGGGTACAATTTGTCAGTAAAAGGTATACGAAAGGAGTACCTTTTCTTTCAAAAATGGTATATAAAAGGGTAAGGGGTTGGACCTTGGGGCGGAGTCTCCCCGTATAAAACTTTGTAGCCTGCAGTGCAGGCGTTTTCTTTGAGCGCGCAATTTGCTCGCGCCATGTTGCAACTTCCGCCGAAGAGAGGAGGAGATGGGGCCAGTCAAAGGGAGCGCGGAGGGGGCCTTTCCTTCTTTCGTCCTCGCACGTACCGCAAGGGTTACTATTTCTACTCTCCCCAATCTTTCGCTGTCATAAAATCAAAGATGGCGGCTACAACAATATTACGAACCACCGAAAATACGCCTGCACTGCAGGCTAAAAACTTTGTTGAGTACTCCCCCATTACCTCCTTTTACAGTCTTTTGAAAACTGTCACGATCCACATTAAATAATGAAAATAAATGCATAATTTTTCGGGGATCGCAGTATGTAGTGGCGGATCCAGGGGAGGCCTCCCCCCCCCTCCGGCCGAAAAAAAAAATTAAAATTTTAACGTGACACAAGGCTCCTCTGCTGTGCATAAAACTGACTCTTTTAGTGTCCACAGTATTTGCAGGCCTGCGGCAATCGCAGATGTCCCCTATTTCTTGCATAGGAGATGTCCGCATGGAACCTTTGTAACGCAGGCTGTACGCACATGTGCGTGCTGCGTACCTCACATCGAAAAGCAGGTGTGCGTCGAGGAAGACTGGAACGAGTTTTTTCTCAGATCACGATCCAGCGACCGATCCAGCAAGGAATCAGTGAATAAGTATGGAATAAGTTGCGTTTGGATCCAAACTACGAACTTTGTTCGTAGAAAAATGGAAACAAATGGTTCTTAAATAGCTCAAGATGCTTTATTACTAGATACTCTTACTTTCTAACAAACCTATAGCTCCGATCGAATAGTCTGGAACTTTGCATACATGCCCGTTGCCTGGATATGAGGGAAGCTATTTTGCATTTGAAAGTAGCACTGACTGCAAATTGCATTTTGGCCTTTGTGTAAAGTAAAGAGAAGTTGAAATTGCTTTTCTCACCCTTCGTCCTACGATCGATGAATTTTCTATTTTCCTGAGAGGGACGGTTAAGAAAAACTGCTGATGACCTACGAAGAATTCAGACAAGCTTAATATTTGCCGGCGTTGTTAAAAGGTTAAATCGTTTCTGATTTCTTGCTCCGCTTGTGAACTGTCAGTTCTGATGGTCAATGTAATCTTCAGAGCCTTGCGCCTTTGTTGAATAACGGACATCGACAAGTAAAGAGGAATGCCGCAACGACGACCCCCTCATGTCGTTTGCTACATTTGTGGACGATTATACGGAACCACGTCAATTTCACTGCACATTCCAAAGTGCCTGGAAAAATGGGAGATGGAAAATGCACAATTACCGCGGCATTTACGTCGTAAACCGCCACAGAGACCCACAGGATGGGGAAACACACCATTATCCACTGACCCGCGGGAAAGGGCAGCTCAGTTGGATTCCATGAATGATATAGCATTCCAAGCTTCTCAAAGTCAGCTTGTTCCCTGCGAGAATTGTGGCCGCACATTTAATCCTGATCGGCTGCCAGTGCATCAGCGAAGTTGCAAGCCTGGCATTCCTCTCAAGCCTTCTAAGAGCTTTGATCCTTCCAGGCTAGGATCAGGGCGACAGGGGTCTTCCCCGTCGGGGGATTATGGCCGGAGGAGCCCTCAACCACCTAGGAAACCTAAGACCGTTGTTTGCTTCATATGCGGAAGAGAATTCGGCACAAAATCCATAAGCATTCATGAGCCACAGTGCATGAAGAAATGGGAACTTGAGAACAGTAGGCTGCCAAAGCACTTGCGGCGACAACCACCAGTCAAGCCCAACATTTTACCAAGTTTATCAGGCCACAATGGAAGTGATTTGGAGCGTATGAACCAGCTGGCATTTGAGTCATCACAGAAGCAGTTGGTGCCATGTAGAAATTGTGGTAGAACTTTTCTGCCAGACAGGCTGGAAATTCATATGAGGTCATGTAAACCTGGAAGCCAGACAATGCCTCTGAGACACTCAGCAGGTGGGTTAAGGGAATGACCCATTTCCTTTCTATTTTAAATTTGGAAAAAGTTCTGTAGAGTAAAGCCAGTGGTCCTCGCGAGTTAAACATTTGTTCGTCAACAAAATAATGTTGCAGCATTCGTCCAACAATTTTGAAGTAATATTTATATCAAATACACAAGTGATAATTCCCTTGATCCCTCTTCATGAATTATTAACGAGTTTGAGAACAGTGTAGAAAGTACATTTTCCCAAGTCAAATGCATGTCATATTTACCAAATTTCCAAAAAAATCCAACTACTTCTGAAAAGTTTCAAAGAGGTTCCAATGACTTTCAAACACTACAGAAGATTCCCAAAGATCTCCAGCAGTGATTTTTGAGGGTTGCAAAGCTCCAAATCTTGGCACCATCTTGCAAACCATACCTTGGCAAGACTACCAAGGCAAGGTATCATGACACCTTAGATTATCACTTAGGATTCAAATGCGACATTTAGTGCCATTCACTGGACTGTTGTAACTAAATTTTAATTCAATTTTTAGCATTAATGGTCAGTGAATAAGCAAAACTCTTAATTATTGTGAGTTTTGCGTGTGAAATTGTCCAGCTGTATGCTTGAGTTCAACGTTTTCGATCCAAAGGCATGTGACACACAACTGATCTTAGTTGGCAGGAATGCCTTACTTTGTGTTTACTTAATATTGAAATAATGAGGAGGGAAGGGAGCCAGGGAGGGGGCGGGGAGTTGGGGGACAGAAAAAGTCAGTTGAACATACCGTAAAATTCTGAAAATAAGCCCCCTCCATGTATAAGCCCCTCCAAATATAAGCCCCCCAAACTGATGACGCAAAAAACCCTCTGTTAAATCGCCCCTCCAAATATAAGCCCCCAGGGGCTTGTACTTGGAAAATTGCCTTCAAATACAAAGTAAAACAAAGCAAAAATGGTAAATTTACTTCCAACTATAAGGCTAGCCCAATCAATTTTGAAATGCAAATTTCCGTCCGTAGATAAGCCCCTCCGAATATAGGCCCCTCCAAAAATAAGCCCCTCAAAAAGGGCCTTTGAAAAATATAAGCCCCAGGGCTCATTTTCGGAATTTTACAGTTGTTCATGAGAGTTTTTTTTTCTCATTCCTTCTTTGGGAAAGGAGCAATTTACAGCATTTAATTTTACCCCTTTAGGCAGAAGACTGACCCCACTTAGCACCCCTGGTGGAATGAGTGCTACACAAGGAGGCCAGCATTTTCATCAGAGCCCTTTAGGCCAATATGAAGACTACAATCACAACATGGGGCCACTAGAAAAGGACAAAACCTTCATAAAAAGCAAGTCATCCCCAAGCAGCGGCAAGAAATCTACTCCTCCTGCAGCTTCTGCAAATCGTCCATCCAGGTTAAAGCCGATGTCCAATCCACACACACCATCTCCTTCATATAATACTAGGCACAGTTCTTCAGCTTCGTACAGCCAGCCAACAGAACAGTCTACAGAGCACGTCAGTCTTGTTCCTTGTCATAATTGTGGCCGATCCTTTGCAGCAGATCGCTTGGCAAAACACGAATCAATTTGTAATAAGAGTGGAAAACAACGGAAGGTGTTTGATTCCACCAAAATGAGAACACAAGGAACTGATGCAGCAAAGTACAACAGACCTGGAGCAAGGAAGGCCCCTGATCCACCCAAATCCAAATCAAACTGGAGGCAAAAACATGGTAAGAACTGCCTTTATGTTCCAGCTTTTACTTTTGATGGCAGCCTTTTAGTTCAATGCATGTATATGGAGAGTATTTGATCTTTGTAGTCTGGAGGTTTGGGTGCAAGCTTTAAACCTTTAAGTGCTAAAAGCCCCATTATCTGCATACAAATTCTCCAGACTGATCTCCATACATTTCCTTAAAGACTGAGTGAAGAGAGTTTAATTATAAGAGATCAAAGTATTTTCCCTTTGGTGATCACATTATTAATTCTCATAACCTTTTCTCTTGATGATGTAAGGATATTACTACTGAGAAAGCTTTGAACCCAGGAGTCATTTCATAAGTAGGTCGAGTATGGTCCGGGTGAACGTAGTCCTGAATAGGACTGTTGTTGTTGACAGTAACTGACGTTTCGACAACCTGTGCAGTAGTCATCTTCAGAGTCAACATGAGTTGTTTCCCACAGGGTCAGTCATTGAGTGTTTTGTTATACCTTCCCAACCTAAAGATAAAAAAAAATGTTTAAATAAAATTACTTAAAATGAGTTAGTGATTTTTTTTCCCTTTAGGAGTTGTGAAGTTTTGACACAGACATTCTTGCCCACAGAATATTATTAATGTACTTGATTTGGGAGGTATAACATTACCATGTTCTTTCATTATTATTAGTACTTCAGTGTAACAGTGCTTATACTACTACATGAGAAATTTCTGCAATTTGATTGGCTTAGAGTGGTGGTATTTCAGCTTATTTTGAAATACCTACATGTGAAAATTACAAAACCTTTGTGGGTGGTGGTATAACCTATACAAATACTGTAACTGGGGCCACTCAGAAAAAGTTGACCAATCAGATTACAGGAAAATACCAATACATTCGGAAAAAGTTGGTTGTAGGCCAATCAGCAGCTCGTAAGAAAACAATAAGTTACTTGAAGCACAACATTTTCAAGAAAGCAAAATGTTTCACCAGTATTCAAAACTTTACCTACAACACCCTGGAGACATATATTAAAAATAACTGAAAAATAACAGCTTATGTCAAACAAGTTTTGTTTGACACGAGCTGTTATTTTTTTGTCTACCAGCAGTTTCTTCACTACAATGTTATGCACAATTGCTGCACTTTGCAATAACATGCGACTTCAATTCAAAAAATTTATAACTAACATTTTCTCAAGTGGGTTGAAAAGGTCACATCTGTAGGTTGTAATTGCTTGATTTTAATTCTTGTTGTTTATTTCGCTTCATGGTAATTATGATGATGACCAACTTTCTTGAAATGTTTTGTTATTTTTCTCTTAACCAATTGGTCAACTTTGTCAAGGTGGCTCCAGTTATAGTATTCACACTATAACAATTTGCAATGTTGGTCATACTCCACAGCGGAATTCATAAATGCCATCAGAGATGCCAAAAGAGTAACAGAGCACATGAAGAAGGGTGGAAAAGCATCTGATTTACCTCCCCCTGTGCCAAGTGAGAATCCAGACTATGTGTTCTGCAGATTCTGTACACGCCGCTTTGCACCTGATGTGGCAGAGAGACACATTCCTAAATGTCAAAACACACTTAATAGACCAGCACCTCCAAAACAGAGGGCATTAGCATTGCAGGCAAGTGGTGGTCGCTACAATGCCAGGAAAACTTTTTCAAGCAGTCGAAATCGCCGCTAGGTCTTGTGCTATCACAAGGTGTAAAATTGCCAGTCCTTTTGCATGACTTTTCTGATGTTGGCACTTACTCTTCCTACCTCACTAGCGACACAAAAATCAGCATTAGTTAATGATCATGAAACATGAGATGAGATCTATTCTAGTCTCACAACTTATCAGTCAAAATGTGTGGATGATGAGTTTCACAGATGGTGATGATCTCGTCAATGCCAATCACTCTGCCATAGAGGATGTTTAACGTTGCCACACCCAACTTTATCTTTGTGTTAATTGTGCTTTGTAAATACGTTTTGGGCATGATTGTCAAAAAATGCTTTCAAATGCCACTGAAAAAACATGTAAGTTATAGATATATATCTCACAAGGGGCAGATTACAGGCAGCCCAGGATCCCCCAAAGGCATCTCTGTTATTAGCAGATGGTAGTGATTATTAATAATAGTAATACTTTAATTATCCTCTCCCCTTATGGGGCTTTTCAGGGATAATGAAACAAATGATTTAAATGAAACATAACATGGTTAAAAATCCCAACCAGTAAGAGTCAAACCAGTTGGCTATTTACAAACGTGGCCAAGGATTTGAGCTAGGGACTGCCAAGAGCAAATCCAGCTAGCAGCCATAGCGGGACTTGAACTCGGGGCCTCCAAATTACAAGTCCAGTGCGCTAACCACTCGACCATGCTGCCTCCTGTGATTGAAGTTTATATAGGAGCGACACACAGTTGGTAGTCAGTCAATGGTCAAAAGTGTACATAATTTTTAATGTAATATTTATCTGTTCATTTATTTTAACAATAATTAACCATTAAACATGTAACATTGTAAGAAAATTATGTGCTGCGTGTTCTAGTCCTGAGTGTTCAAGATTTGTTTTCATTCATTCTGTGCCTTATTCCATAGCAGCCTGCACTTTCTGGAAACATTATGCAACCTGTTACATTTCGCCAGCAACCAATGTCAGCTGTGGACTTCCAGATAAATTTTGGCAGACTCACAATGCCTCATTCAGTGATTTACATCAACACTCATTCACAGTGAACAAGATTCATTGGTGTGCGTACTTTAACATCAGGGGCATAGCTTGAATTTTCCAGAAGGACACTTGGTCTTCCAAATCAACTCTTCAGTACTTTTGCCTCCCAAATTGTTTTCACAGCTACCCGTGGCCCGTCCACTGGCAAATAAAATAATTCCCCCCATTATTTTAATACTACACTTGACAATCTCTATAAAGAAAACAGAGGATCTCTATTTTCATCATCATCGTCATCATCATTCTTATTATTATTACTATTATTCATTCATTCATTCATTCAAAATATTTCTCCATCTCTGATTGGCTAAAAACCCAACCAAATTTGGAAGACGTTTCTGCGATATGTGAAAAATGACGTCAATAGGCCTTATGCATTAGTTGATCACGTGGTCAACTTTCGGTAAACACGAAAACAGTTCGTTTTTTTGGTTTTTTTTTGTTAGCACGAGCTGCAAGAGTATATCAAAATTAGGTAACACGTGAATTTTCAGCCGTATATCTCAAAAGTAGCGATCGCAATGGCCACGGAAAAATAGAAAACAACCTTGCCACCCTTCCAGTCACGTTTGAATTGTTTTCCATACAAATCAGGAGCACCCAACGTCAATTTTCGGAAAATATCTGTTCGGAATTTGAGATCTAGAATTTTCGGAACATTTGTTGTAAACTTTCTTTCTTGCCTGCCTCTCCTAGGATTTTCGAACATCTAAAAAATGGTATAATTTCCCATTTTTAACGGATTTTTACTTTAAAAAGGTCACCTAGATTTTTCGAGAGCCTTTTTTCTGGCTGAAATTTTCGACAAGGTAAGTTTTGATCCCTATAATTTTCGGATTACTAGACTTTAGCTAGGAAATCCGAACAGATGAAAAATTTTTAGGGGATAAAAATATGCCCGTATCTATCATTTACATACTAAAATACGTGTAACAATGCTATATTCTCGTTGGGTGCCCCTGGCAAATCCTTGTCAATTTCGAAATTTTTAACTGCCGTGAAATATTTCGTCAAGCATTACTTGGCTCAAATCTCCTTTTAATTCATAACAGACAATTTGAGCCCATAAATGTGTAAGGGAAAGATTTAACGACAGTTTAAACATTTTAGAATTTACAAGGAGTTGTATGGAAAACCACTCAAGCGTGACTGGGTGGCAAGAGTTGTTTTTCTGAGGCCCTGTCAGGGTAAATTCCGACAAGTGACATGACCTAAAAAGTAGCGACAGAGCGTAAAATGAAATCGCGACAAGAGACATCCTCCCTTGGCCAAATTGCGGCAGTGACGGCAAAGCCCCTTCCTCGGAGATCCAGGGGCAGTCAGTCGGGTCGGGAGAAAAGGCGGAACGAAAACTTTCGTCCCGCCTTTTCTCCCAACCCGAGTGACTGCCCCTGAGTCTCCGAGGATGGGCAAAGCCGTGAATAAGCGACAAAGAAAGGTGGTTTGGCTAATTTATCACCAATCTTAATGCTTCAGAGAACGTCTCTTGTCTCTTGTCATTGAGCTTCAGAGGACCCTCCTGAGCGCGCGTCGCGGTACACTTTATTAAGCAACCCTGCACAACTCCTGGGAGACCGTGCCTTCACAATTATCAGGTCAGTTAGTCTTAAAATGTTGAACGTGGATCACGTAATTGTGAATATTAATAGCGATGTATAGGTGTCCAATACGCGAAATGTTAACTGAGAAATTGCAGAACTGTAATGGTTTCTTTACAACGCATCGCTATCCCCCTTTTCTAAAATTCTGACAAAGACAAAAGGATTTTCGTTCAATTTCCGACAACGACGTGAAGCATTTATAGCGAAGCTCTCTCGCGCGCGAAGCGCGCAAAGCGGAGCACCATGGGTGAGAAAATTTGGTAACCTATGTAACCGAGAAATTTTGATATTTTTAATAGTCACCTGACCCGCCCGCCCGACCGTTCGCACCACAGGCATACCAATGTAGAATAACTCAATCGACAGGTGGGCAACTCATGGCCGCCCGGACTTTGAGAAAAAAACAACAACAAAGTCGTGTCTTTTTCGACGTTATATTTGATGTTTACACTCAAGTGGATGACAGAGAAAGAACTGGAGCGAGTGACTGAAAACAAAGGAGACGAATTTCGTAGGAAGAAAAACATGAAAATTCAAAGCGGCGGTGAGAAAATGAGAAAGGCTAGCGGCCAGCGAGGAGCGGCCATCAAGGTGTAAATGAGGGCCAGTGGAAAATAAAAGCGAACATGGGCACAAAAAACAAAACATTGGGTAAGCACATACGACAATTCCTCCATAAAAATAATGGGTAACTAGGAAGTTTGACGTTTTAGTCGTACATAAACAGCGTTGTAGTCGTGCAAAACAACGGCAAAGAAAGACAAAAATGCGTGCTGCACGTGCAAATTTGTTTTTCTTTGCTAATAAGAAAAAAAAGTGTGCTGCACGTGCAATTTGTTTTTTCGCCAATTAGATCTGTTGGTCTTAATACCATTTTCATTGCCGTCCACGTTTAACATTACACGATTTTTTTTGTTTATGAGTATTATCAACCAGAGCTTCGCCTTTAGCCCCGGGTAAATCTATATACGAAACATACAAATCCTTCTAATTTTCGGCGGCCGTTACAATCGCTGAGATATACTGCTGAAAATTTACAGGTTATCTAATTTCAATATGCTCTTTCAGCTCGTGCTAACAAAATTTTTCAAAAGCGAACAGTTTTCGTGTTTACAGAAAGTTGATCACATGATCAACTAATTCACGTTACATCATCGCCGCCATGCTGGTGGACGGTAAACAAAAGATCGCTCATTAGCTTGCTTTGTTTGTACACCAGCATTTGTTCGTTTCACCATTGTTATTTGTGTCTCCCGAGATTGCACCCCTATTGACTATTTTCCAATTCCCCATAATACACTCTGTTTGCCCCCCAAATTTTGCATAACTTATTGTCTTAAAATGCTCTTGGGAAAATGCAATACTCCCAGGAGCATTTAAAAACAATGGTTTATGCAAAATTTGGGGGGCAAACAGAGTGTATTATGGGGAATTGGAAAATAGAGAATAGACCATTTTACCGATATGGCGGCCATATTGAATTAGTTCGATTTAAGGAGTATTATAAGCTGCCCAGGGGTATGAGCACATTTCGTTTGTATTTTCGAGAGCTTTTCGGGACATTTTTTCTTAACGTTTTCTTAGAATAAGATTGTAATGGGAAAAAAGATCCTTGTGCCGTGTTTGGATGTAATAATGATCGCTTTTTTCTGGTTTAGTATTAGAAATATGGTCTTTCATTGTACATTTCTGGGACAAGGTTGAATTTTTTAGTAGTGAGTACAGAATGGTGGAACATTTCACTCGTTTCACAAGGAAGAAATAGGCAAACTGTTGGCTAAAAACATAGCAAGAACAGCAGGAAGACAACTCGTACCAGGGGCGGATCCAGGAGTTTCTTTTAGGAGGGGGTGCACTCGTCTCTTGCTCTACTTCAACACCAATAAACCGCATAGTTTTTTTTTTTTTTTGAAGAATACCAGTTGTATTAGAAAACCGCAGGTCATCTCAGGGGGGGGTGCGCACCCCCTGCACCCTCCCCCTAGATCCGCCCCTGCGTACGGAGGGTATCTGATATTTGGAGAATATTTGCAGTACTGAACAACCCTTTATCTCCTAAACTTGCCGATAAACGGGCAATTGAACAAAGGGGGTAAGCATGTCTTAGCTTGTTCTTAAACTAGGAACTATATATGTTGAATGAATTGCAAAGCAATTATTGAATTATGTCCATGTCCTCGCGGATGACTGTCCAATTCTACGCCGAACACCGGCTCCATTCGAACTCCTATCAAATATCCTTGTTTTCAACGCGGAAGTTCTTTATCCAGGGTTCACCTGCCGAAAAACTTTTTCAAGTACAACAGCATTTCCATACCTAGCAGCTAGAAAGAATTCTCCTAGATGATGCTAGATCACTATTATAGTTTTTCTTTTGAAGAGTGAGACAAGGAGAACCAATAATTTTCTCAGCAGTCATATTTCAAGGTCAGTCACATTCAGAGTTGTAATCAGGGGTGTAGAACTTTACGATCTAGTGAAAACAGCATTCTGATTCCATCATTTACAATCAAGTGAAAACTAGGCTGTCGGAGTCGCAAGCAGAAGCAGAAGAACTATACCAATCACAAAACGTGGGAACATGCATTGTGATTGGTTTATCCTTCCACTTCTGCTTCTGACTCCAACAATGTGGTTTTCCTTAGATCGTAAACGATGGAATCATAAGCGGAGTCAGAAGAAAATGGAAATGTTCCGATTCTTCCGAGTCCGATTTTGTCACGCTTATGACTCTGCTTACAACTCCGATTTTTGATTTTCACTGAGTCATAAGTTTCTTACGACTCTGCTTATGACTCCGACGCTGACTCTGTCGCTAGTAAAATTAAAACCAGCCTTAAATCAAGTCGTTTTACTTCCAACAGTATAGGGGGAAATTGGGATTTAAAAAATAATAAATAAAAATAAGCTTAAACTAAAGTGAAGAAATTTATATTTTAAACAGCCACTTTACACACACACACACACACTATGGCAAATGGGATGTACTACTGCGTCTGTTTTTATTCCTTACAGAAATAATTACATGTTTACATAAGACATTGTGTAGTATTATGCAATGTGTTATGTATATATGGTGAAAGCAAAAAAGGAGCCTGATTTTTTGTGGCTTCCTTTTTTCAGGTTCTTTTGACTTCAGCACATATAGATCACATTGACCTTTCATTTAATAAATAAACCTGTATCCTCCTTTTTCCTACTTTTAAAACTATATTCAGAATGTCTCCTTTCCATGAATAAATAAAAACACAGCCACAGCGGCATTGACAACAAGTCCAAGAAGACCAAAGGAAGGCCATCCATAATGCTTGTACATAATACTCCCCAGGGTGGGGGAGACAGTTCTTATTAGTGAGTTGGTTGCCATGGAGAGTCCCAATACTGCACCAGTTTCCTTGATGACGACACTCTTTGTCATAGCTGAGGTTGTGATGACATTTAATGTAGTTCCGCCCACCACCATTGGTATAATGACAACACAGAACTGGTAGATATCTGTTACCATGTACTAATAAGAGAACAGAAATATATCAATATTTCAAAACACAATATGCTTGACAGTACATGTCGTAATGTTTTGAATTACAGATGACAAGGAATTATAAGCAAACTAATTAAATGAACTGTCATATTAAGACGTTGAAGTTCCATTAGCCGCTTTGGGGGTCTCACAGCTTTGAACCGAAGAACTTTCATCGTGTAAGTTTGAACCCCGATAACTCGAACTTCCCGCTAACTTAAACTAAGTCCAATTTCCCTTGGATTTCACCCCACTTTTCAGTCATTTTACTCGGTTAACTCGAATTCCTCACTAACTCAAACTAACTTTCCTTTCCCTTGATCAAAGTTACTGAAAATTAGCCTGATAACTAAAATTCTGGCTCTTGTTTCTCTACTCGGTACTCGTTCTCCATTTGGTGCAATGAACAGATCAGGTTTTATTATAAAAAATGCCTATGCATGTTACCGTTTGTGATAAAATAAGTTAAACTTGTACTGCAGTAGCACTATATGTACTCCCGGAAGTGCTGAAAAATCAGTCACTATCAAATTTTTACACCGAAAATTGCAGTCGCCCCCAATAACTCGAACCCTCGCTAACTAAAACTGTTTTTTTTTTCCCTTCAGAGTTACCCGGGATCTACTGTACTGGTTATCCCAGTTGTTGAGTCATTTTATAGTCAGTGAAAAATAGTACGCTAGTACGTTAGAACGTTAGTTATCAGCACTGTATTCGCTAGTACGTTGGTAAGCTGGTCATCCCGGTTGTTGGCACAATTTTTTACAAGTCATTGTTAACTAGTACGTTAGTACGCAAGTACGCTAGTTATCACCGCTTTATGCGCCAGTCAGTAAAAAATAGTACGCTGGTACGTTAGAACGCTCGTTATCAGTGCTGTATTCGCTAGTACGTTGGTAAGCTGGTCATCCCGGTTGTTGGGACAATTTTTACAAGTTGTTGTTAACAAGTACGCAAGTACGCTAGTTATCACCACTTTAATCGCTAGTCAGTAAAAAATGGTACGCTAGTACGTTAGAACGCTAGTAATCAGCGCTACATTCAAGTATACGCTAGCACGCAAGTACGCTAGTTATCACCGCTTTATTCGCTATAGCCGTTGGTACGCTCTATTGAAGTCAGTACTTAGCCATCTAAGTTGTCCGGCGATTACATTGATTGTACTCCTAGCAATACTGTAGACATTAATCGAGTCAAGGTATTGTCTAGTTACGTTTGGGTATTTGGCTACTGTGGTACTATAGTACTGATCACTAAGCAAAAAAATACAAAAAGGCATTCCTAAAACAAGCAGCATGTGTTTCTGGGAGTACTCATCTCTCTCAAAACTTTGGTGAGAACTATCTTACAAGGTAAAAGACAACAGACTATGAGATGATTTAATTACTGTTAAACTAGCCTGCCAACTAAAACAATAAGTATCTACAACTTCCTTACCAACAGTGCATAAGCTAATGCAATCACGCAGATAGAACTTCTTAAAAGCACAGCTTCACTGAATCGTCTAGACAACACACCAACAATAAGACCTTGTACAATCTAGTGCAATTAAAACAATATAAAAACATGATTAACTTCTTGATTAACATTTTTGTAAAAAAATAACATGTTTTTAAACTTTGACAGGCAACCGCATATAAGAAGCAGATTTCTGCACGTCTGCAATTGTACCTGTTACAAGAAACACCCACTCCAAATCATCACTTTCTCTTCCCTCCCAAATTCCCGTATCCCTTAATCGTCCTCCCAGCAAACCTTTCAATTCAGATCGGATAAGATCGTTCAAACCAGTGACAAAATTAGTTGTTTGCAAAGAGCATATAAACCTGAAACTAAATTTTGAGATGGAAGCTGCGGGGCAAGCAGGTCAGACCAAATGTCTTCCAGGATGTGGGCTTTTGGGTATACGCAGCTTCAACAGTTCAGTAAACAGATATCTAATTACCCCTGACTGAATAAAGATACTCTTTATGAGGCATTTAGGTTAGCCTCAACAATGTTATTGCATCCATGTATCAGGCAAGAAAGTAAAATTCTTTGCATGCACTGATTTCATGGTTTCTTCAGATTCAGACTATTAAACCCTTTGAAATATTTCTATGATGTCTTCAATTTTGAACTTCAACAGTCTGAATAACTTTTGTCAAATTTAAAATTATATGTCTGCTTTTAAAATAACTACAAGTAACTTACTATTGATAGGCAACCAACATACGACATGACAAAGCCATTCTGCTGAGGTTCCAGCTTAAAAAATTCCATAGACACCAATGAGAACATGGACTGAAAAATCCCAAATGGTATCCCCGTAATTACTTTAACTACTATTAAGAAAAACACTGTTGGAATCTTTAGAAGGTGTAGGATTTTCTTCACACTAAATACCCCACCATCCTTCTTCTCACTGTTTTCTGAAAGATGAGAGAAATAATAGGTATAAGTATCTCTTAACATGCAACAGATTTGGTCACTAAAGTGCATTATGGGTTATGCTAGGAGTAACTTTGAATAGAAAAATAGGAGACTGCTTCAAGTCTAAGGATATCACCTTCTAGCAACAGGGAGAGACTCACCAGTGTCATCAGTTGCAGGTTTCTCTTCTTTTGACATTGCCTTAGTGTTTCCAGGGATGAAAGAAAAGGCAAGGATGATACTCAGACAAGAGAAAAATGCTGCAAAGAATGCTGCAGACTGCTCTCCATAATTCTTTGTAATAAGGCCACCAATGAATGGTCCAATCACCATACCAATTGCATAAGACACTCCTAGCTTTCCAAGCGCATCTGCACGGCCTGTCAGGAAAAATCAACATGAAATACAGAAATCAGCAAATAAACACTGACAGTCTTAAGAATCAAAACAAACTAAATATATAGCATCTTGACTGACTAATTGACTTGACCCACTAACTCATGACTTGACTTAACTGACTGACTGACCAACCAGCAGACCAACTGACCAACCAACAGATGAACAGACGGACGGACCGACAGAAGGAAAGGGGGAGCGCTGGAGGGAGGGAGGGATGGATGGGAATAGTTCTAGTAACTTAACAATGCTTTTATTGAGGTCAAACATTTTGCTCAAGTTGCCTTTGCATTCAGTCATTTTTAGCCGATTTGTTCCAACCCACCTGTCCCTTTCCTCTGGATAGGTTTTGTTAAGTGTATAGGAAACTGTTTACATGATACCAGAATAACTTTCATTCCGGAATGAGTTCATTCCATTTCCATATAATATTTCTTTGCATCTGTTCACACGATATTGAGACAAAATTTTGTTCCCGTACAAGTCATTCCAGAATGAGTTCAGTCCAGCTTTCATTCCGAATGAAATTCTCATTCTGGTACGAAATTTCATTCTGTTATCATGTAAACTGAAAACGAACTTTGTCCTGGATTGAAAATTGCAAATTGTGTAATCTGGGGATGAGTGCCGCATGCATATCTGATCTAATGCCAAAAACCATGCAAACCAGAATGCCTTATAAGGCTGAGCAAGTTGATTTTATCATGTAAATGTAGTGCGAACTTCATTCTGAAAGTTATTCCTATCTTACTGTATAAACAGTCACTAAGTGAAACTCTCCCCTAAGCTTCTCTAGGCCAGTGTCTGGTGGTTGCTGCTCACAGGGTTGTAATTGTTACCTTACACACCCGCTTGCAGCTCTCTCAGTTTGACTAGACACCTTCCCTACACCTACAATGATTTTTCGCCCACAACGATTTTTCTATTGGCGATGGGTTTACTGGTTGATACACACTGACTGAGTAACCAATTGAAATGACCGATGGTCAGAGGTATCACCTTACTGACTGATTACCTGATTAGTTGATCATTTATTACTTTTATATATTTAATTTATGTAGTATCAAAGTCATTTGTTCAAATACCATTTAATGTTCTTACCATCTTTATCTGAGATGTCTGTTACAACCATTTGTGATCCTGAAAGTTAAACAATATGAAATAATGTATTATTGTAATTCTTGGTTCTCAAAAATATTCTTCCTTCAAAAATATTATAAAAGTGTGGAGATGTAAATATCTTTGTTCATTGTCACTCTTTATTTTAAATAAAATGTATTCTTCCACACAATATCCATATAACCACCCCATAGAGGGTATACAAATTCTTAAGGGGAGGGGGGGGTCTTGGAAGACAAATGTTTTTAAGAGGGAAGAAGGGTTTAAACCAAAAACCCTTAGGGCATTTTCTGGAACCACACAATTCAGGTTCTAAAACACATTTTATCATTTGATATCATTCAGTACTAACCTTGCATTGCATGCATAAACACAGATGGAAGCCTTGATAGAAACAGCATGGAGACAGTTGATGCCAACCCAAGAATAGAGTAGCTGACAGCTGCTGCAGCAAATGATAAAACAAGAGCTGCTCTACTTCCAAAAAGATCGCCAAATCTTCCAAATATGGGACCACCACAAAGCTGAACCACAGCAAAAGTAGTTTGAAGATATCCAAACACCACTGGGTCTGCTCCAAGCTTCTTGGATAAATACTGAAATAATACAGAGACAGAATTTAGCTAATAAAAATTACAGGCAACCAATGGAGCCCACAACGATTTTAAATCTCCATCCCAGGAACTTGCCATTAAGCATGGGCAGCACATATCGAGCCAGTGTTTATTTGAACTTTCAATAAAAATGAATGGATACAATGAATTCAAATTTTATCATGCATGTTTGGACCTTCTGTCACTTGTAATCTGATCACACGCAATTTGACCTCCTGCCGTATGAAACTTTAGCAAGACACAGCATTGAAGTAAGAATGTTCCTATTGATCTCACCTGCACTTCCTAACTTCTCGTTTAATATTCTACAAGTAGTGATTCAGGATCTAGGCTGTTGTTAACGCTTCAAAACTACAAGCATTTCTGAACAGAATTCTAACAGCTCACTATTGACAGGAACTACATATTGTTGGTTTTCACATGACGTCACTAAAATTCAAACTAAAAAACTATCGATCCTACCGAGATTTTACTTTCACGATGTATTAGAGGAGCTGAAAACTAATTTTCATACAAATTTTTGCTTCAAAAGGGTTTTTGGTTTCGTGAAAAGAGTATGCTTGAATTTCTAAGCTTTTGCAAGACGCGGAATTTAAATGACAGTCAAGAGAGCTGTCATGTAGGTTAAAAAAATTGCTTATTTCAGGAAATTTTGCTATCTAAACAGTTCGTGTATTAGAAAAAGTATTGCTTTAATGTTTATGAGTTTCTCGAAGAATAAATTTACTCGCTCTTGTAGCAAAACTCTGTAACAGATGTTTCTGTTGGTTTCCGTCCGCCATGTTGGAGCTCATCCAGGTCAGCACCAGCATAGCGTCTCCATACAAATCTCTATAAGTTTGGGTAAAACATTATTTTCTTCAGATATCTCGTATAGGGTCTTTGTACATGTACCTCCTTTCATTTCCCAGATTCTGGACTTTATCTATTGAACGGTTTTGATTTTTATTTTGATCTATTTTAAATGGCGTGACACTGAAAACCAGCAATATAGTATATGGGTTTCATGCTGCTCAAGATTACCACAAGATGCATGTTATACATGAACCTACTATACAGCCTTGCTCTCTATGAATCTCTCAGTACAGCTCAGTGGATATTGAACACACCTGACCACAGTTGTTTAAAAGTTTGATAGAGCTATCCACAGCATAAATAACTAACCAGCGAAACTACTCTCCAGTGGATAGTGATTTATCCAGTGGATAGCATTGTCCACCTTTTGAAAGACTGGAGCCTGGGGCTTACCAAGTTTAAGGTTTGAATCTTGTCAGAACTTAAGATTTTTCTTTACCCCATGCTTAATGTGGCGTATAAAAATCAGTTACATCTTTCTCACTTACTACCTAGATTAAAATTGTTTATACCATCTTTCTATTTTTATTGCTCTAGTTATTTTATGGGTAGCAGTGGGCATCTTGGACACCTTGATGTTATGCCTTGTCCTTTCCTTTGGCAGTGGCAACTTGGGAAGAAGCAGTGGCAACTTGCTCACAAGTCAAGACAAGACAAGGCGAACTCCAGGAAAATAACATACATGCTGTCTTTCAAAGCAACAACCTATGCTGTATGCCCAGTGTTCAATATACTTTCCGCGGTTAACGGTTACGTAATGATCAATAACAACTTTGAAAGAAACAAACCCTCCTTTCAATTCAAGCCATGCACTGTATTTTACAAATTTCCGAAAGGTAAAAAGATTTCAACTTTGGGTCTCAAAGCCTCAGGGATTATTAAATTTATTGGGCTAAATATGTTGATGCAGAGTTTTGTCAGACCCTCCATTCAGGGATAAAATGTCGGATGCTATATATTTGTGAACACAAATAATAGACTTACCGGCAGCACTCCGATCTGAACCCAGAAACAGGATGAATAGATGGCAGCGTTTAAATGTGTGTTAAAAATAAGCCATTTTCGTTTGCGATTGAGCATAAACTCCACTGAGGTTTTCATGGTCTCGCTTGAGGAAAAGGTCATCTCCTCTTTATCTGGACTAGATTCTTCGGTCATTTCATATCGTTTACGTACTTCAATGTCTTGGGACATGTTTTTGTCTCTTAAAAATTGGATGGTAGGCGTCTAAGTTGGAAGCTCGATTTCTGAAAGTGAAGCAATGGAATATCTGCCATGTCACAGGTCGTCCGATCGTCGCCACCTCCACCGGCGCATCTTTATGAAGACACAATCTTTTAGGTCAGCGGAAATGCACTCTATACACGTGGAACGACCACATCGAATGATTCTGGTGGAAGGTTATTTCTGCATGGAGATTGCATGGAGAGGTGGAACAAGGAGAGGTGTTTTGGGGCGCTTTCCATTTAGTCAAAATTTCCGGATTTCCGGTTCGGCGGTAAATGGAACACGTTTCGTCGGTTCTTCCCACTGGAAAATTCCCAGAAAAAGTGGAAAATCTAAAAAGGTTGGCCCGTTTTCCCGGTTGGAATTTCCGTAAGGAATTTCGCGTTCCATTTACTCGTTTCTCGTAGTTTGTACCAGTTCCAGGTCCACGGTAAGAAAATCTGTCGGGCACTGCGACGTACCGGGGTTTACGACCAAATGGAACAACGTTTTGCCAATCGGAAATTCCACTTTTGCTCCCACCGAAATTTCCCGGTTTTTTTCCCAAATGGAAAGCGCCCTTAATATCGGTTACCTGCGTGGCTAGACTCCCACACAAACGTTCTTTTGGCCGACAAATCCCTATTTGTTCGCGTTTTTCGCGCCCCTCGCTTGCTTCGCGCTTGCCTCTGCTCGCCTGAAAAACGCGAACCAATCGCCTGTCCCCTAGGCTATCAGCGTCAGTGTGGCAGACCTCAAAAGGGAAAGGAGAAAGAGGGGAAAGGGAGAGGTGACGCAAACTATAAGACTACCTTTTTTTCCCTTTTCGCGCTTTTGCGGTAATCCAAACCCCATAATGGCCAAGTTCCAGGCAGTGCTTACCCGGATACAAAATTTGTCCATGTGCTGAAGTTCAACGCAGTTCATCACACAACAGTTTGTAAAATAGCGGTGTAAGTGGAATGTACTATAAGTGATACAAGTATCGATAGGTTAAATGTCGATGTTACGTTTTCGTGTTAATATGAAAATGTGAGTAAGTGAGGAAGATCATGAGTTAAAGGAAAGATTGTGTTTCGCCCTATGTGAGAGAATCCAAGACAGTCTCGAAATTCTGGATTCCAGGTACTGGATTCCAGTCTTTGTCAGTGGGATTTGGATTTTGAATTCCAATCTCTAGTAGGATTCCGGATTCCTTGAGCTGTATTATGGAATCTGGATTCCACAAGCAAATATTTCCCGGATTCTGGAATCCGAATCCCCTTACATGTACGTAGACGTAGTGTAAACGATTTGTTTGCTTGTAAACGATTTGTTTGTTTGATTTGCAGCGTAGCGCAAACGATTTGGACGTTGAAACTGACAGAGAGTAGGGGCGAGTCAAAAAATGTTTCAAAGGGAGAGGGTTTCATGATGGCGGCCGCGATCAACGTACCTCTGGGTCGTGCTTTCGTTAGAAAAAAAAAAAGAAGAAGAAGAATGAGCCTGCTCCGCAGTCTTCCTTGCATGGGGTGATGTGTAGTTAAAATTAAGCTGTTAATGGTAGCTTGAGTAAAAAAAAACTCCTATTTAGTATGGGAATTATTGTTATCGAGCTGATTTTATTAACTCCTTATAAATAATAAATATACAGTGTACAAAAGGCATAAATAAAGTATGAATAACATCTTGAAATGCACAATTAACAAATTAGAAAATCCTCAACAGCAGATGCCGATAAAGGCTCAATAACAGCGAACATCAATAAAAGGGGGCCTCTTCACCGATCTACCCCTCTGACTACATGTTTGCGATTATAACATCGTACTGAACAGCTGTGGATTTTGTCTGTAGACAGTGGCATCCGGATCCAATTAATCATTGGTAATAGGACTGAAAGCAGGGTTTTAACGAGTAGAATTTTAATCACATGCACTGACAGGGCAAACTGGCGGCAGAAAAGGCGTCTTTTGACGAAGCGGGAAAGATGATCAGCATCGCCCGGCTCCAAATTGAAATAACGGCGCTCCTAACGTTTAGGAGATGCGGTATGTACTCTGCATTTTAAACTTGGAATACGAGGGAGTTCTGGTTGTGGGGGTTTGTACCTCCAGCTTGGTCTGACGAAAGAATAAATGAATAAAAATCAGGAAATGAAGACAAATACTAGTCTCCTACTACTTTTTGTTTTTGTTTTGTTTAGGAGATAAGGTACTGTACAAATCAGCTCTTCCAACTTTTATTACGGTGCGGTTTCTAATTAATGTAGCCTGTTCACAGACCCTCTATTTTCTCTTCAAAGTCCGTCGAGCACGCCTAATGAAAAAAAAAACCGCGGGGGATTTATTGACCGCCAGTGCAAAGGGGTAGGGGTGGGGGAAGAAGAAAATAGATATTTTTCTTTCTTGCGCCCCGCCCTCGCTTTGCGCGCGTGCTCGCCTCACTCTCGCGCACGCCGATGTTTTCCAAAAGAACGAAAAGGAAAATAAAACGTCAGATCTCTGTGTACAGGCTATAATGAATGATACATTTAAAGATATCTTATTTTTAACATACATACCCAGATTTGAGCGACTAAACCAACGTACGGAATCTTACCCAGACTGCTAAGATTCACACACTTGATTTTTACTGTCGTGCCTAATTTCACAGTAATGACTTAAAGATAGCTCTGACAGGATATCATTTTTAATGTACATACCCAGATTTGGGAGGCTAAACCAGCCATTTCTCTTAATCTGCGGGATGACTGATTATTTGGGTCTCGTTTTTTATGCTGCTGTCTCTTTCTTTTTCTTGGAATAATGAATCCTTCAGCGTCATCTAACAGAACACAGCTTAAAAACAGCCATAAAGCGATGAAAGAAAAGAGACGTTTAGAATCCATCATTAATGTTCCTGGCCAGCAGTCAGTTGGTAGGCTCAACTCTCTGTTGAGTTGTAAAGAGCTACAATCAGTCTATACGGAGTACACAGTACTGCCTGCGGAGCAATTAAAGTTTGCAGTTATTTTAGTTATTTAAGAAGCATGCAACCGTCACTGCTTAGTTTCAGTATTACCAGAAAAACCCAAAACGTTCATTAAGATTGATAGCACAGCAAAAGCTAGGGTCCAGTTAATCAACGAAAACAGGGGCAATAATCAGGGTAGGAGATCGTAACTCGATACGGAATGGCCAAATGTGCACAAATTACGCCTTCTCGTGTGATACGCGCGCGCATTTTTTGCGAGGGCGCCGCGCAAAGGATAGACAAACAAAATAGCGTCAGAAATGACCTCAACATTGCCTCCTCTGAATTTGAGGTAAGACCTTGAGGATTACATCTTTGACAATAACTTTTAATATGAGGACTGTGAATGTAATTCTGATCAAGTTAATCACCGTTGTGAAAGTTTATTTGACAAATACAGTTACTAAGATCCAGTTCGGACGGGAAAAAAAAAAGCTTGCTGGGAAAAGGTGGCCGGAAAGTTAACAACAACAACAACAAATAATTATGTTTAATTTTCCTTAAATATATCTTTGAAATCATGATAATTACAGCTTCACCAGCTTCAAACAGTCTACTGGCCGAATTTCACAGGAAAATACATTTTAACATAACTATACATTAATTTTCCCACTTAACGTTAGCCTTGTCAGCGTGGCCTGTTCGACTCTGATCTCGGCTTAGATGTTTTTTTCTGTGTTGTATCATTTTTTTTCGTTTTGTTTTCTTTTTTTAAAAATCATATTTTCCCCCTTGGCTTGTTTACCTTTATTCTTACTGCTGGCATTACAGCCCCGCGAGGTTTTTGCGATAAATGTATTTCTAGTAATGTTTATATAACATTGGCTTATTCTTCCACTGTGCATCCATTGTATATCGAATTAAATATTAACTCCTCAAATTCCAGACGAGAGCAGAACAAATTTCCTGGATCCCGCGCGAGTTTGTGACGTTGAGGTTGTTGAGGGTAGCGCAGCACATTTGGCTATATCCTGTTTCGATGGAACCGTGTGAGAGACTAAATGTACATGTGCGATAGTGCTCATTTTACGGCATTATCAGATTCAGATTTAAACTGGAGTACGCATGCGTTTCTCGCCGTTCAGTTTTGTCCCATCGGCGACTGGGGAGTTCACTGAAAAGTGAATGCTCCATGATTAGTCATCAGCTGAGTCATGCCCGACAGGGGGAGAGAGGGGGTCGTCGAATTTGAACTGACTAGTGTTTTGTGTGGACTACGTACGCGCCAAAAATGTATGTGTGTCAATAAAATAGAGACAATGTATGATATGTCGCGCGGAAACATAAACTGAACAATGTTCAACTTTCACGTTTATATTGCCTCTTTTTCGTACGCAGGTAAAAGTTACCTGAATGCGCACGTAAATTAAAAAACAGTGGAAATCCACCTTAAATAGCCGTGGTGAAGGCGTATTCTTTTTTAAAGATGGTTCACATGAAACCAAATAGTTAAAACTTTACGCACATAAATTGAAACGAGAAAACAGAAATATCATGAGGATATACATTTCTCTTACCTCTTAATTGGAAATCGACGTTGCAGCCTTCACTTGTCTTCTGAGAGCACTCATTAAACATACAATTTATACTAAATTGTAGCACTATATATCTTATGTATCTTTTTGGCTCTGGGGGTTTCTGGTTATGTCCAGGCTAGCTTTCTTTACGTCATCAAATAATGCTTCCACGTTGTCGTGGTATCAATAAACAAAACCGCCATTTCCTTTCAGAAGAAAACTCTTTGCACGAACCCTTCTATCATATTTGAGGTATTTAAAAATTTTAGAGATGAAAGCCATTATTTCTCCCACCCAGAAGAGTTGTGAGTCCCGTGCTACCAGGACTGTTATTTCTGGGGAAATACCCTTTCTGTTCCCTCTGTTCGTTCCCCAATATTCGTAAACAGGTCAGCCGGAAAAACGCTGGCTTTAAACAGCCTTCTTGCCCCTCCCCCCGCCCTGTATTCTCGTTCTTTCTCGCCTTTTCTTCATCCCCCA